GAAGTATTTTTGCTACTGCTTTTTATCGAGTTGCTACACCATACCCATCCAGTGTTGCACACAGGGCCTTGCCTGGGGTGTTAAGGTTTCAAGGTCATTAAGTGTGAATGGATCTTCAAGATGGGGCAAACAAGAAGATGCTCCATGATTTGTGATTCCTGACATTGGCAGTTGGGATCAACATCAGTAGAATATCCCTATTTCTGAAGGTTGGCTTTACTCTGACCAACAGTTGATTTTAAGCAGGGCCTGAAGGGCTAGGCATCACTGGTGCCAGGGGGGAAGGATTCTGTAGTTCTGAGAGAGAGAGAGTCTGTGTTTCACATTAAAGTGACTGTACCACAGAGGCAGATGCTGAGTAGAAGCTATGTTCACTAGATGGGCTGAGTGTAAAAAAAAAAAAAACTGTGTTGATTTGAGCCTCTTTGTCATTGGTTCATGGAATGGATGACGGAGGTCAATCTCCTGCCTCATTTCTGCTGCATCCTGTATTATTATAAGAGAAGAGCATGTCAACAAATTGATGGGGTACAAATGTACGAAGACCAATATACCCATCTTGAAACCTGGTTTGATAAGGATATATCAAGCACATGCAGCACAGTCAAATGTGCAACATGATGACTTTTGATAAAAGCAGAACTTTGCAGGTGGGACTTAATTAGAAATACCTTCAGGTCAGGTAACCTACTCTACTCAGTCTCCAATTGAGGCTGTTCCCAAATATCTAGTTACAATTACCAAGTCACCTTGGTGACCTCACCCTTCAAGCTATAAAAAAAACCCTCTTGATATCCAGGCATGATGCTCCTCTATTACTGCTGCCCATGATAAAAGATTTTATAGTGCATTATTCCCGAGAGGACATGGCTTACTGGTTAAAGTCAAGCAACCAGCAAGCAAATGGGTCTTATCAAACGGGATATTTACTGTATCTCATCTTGATTTACCAAGACAAAATATCTACATGCAGTGATGCTGATAGGTTTTCATCGATGAAAGTGAAAGAAAAAAACTAATTATCGGGAGGATTGAGGAAAGAACAAAAGATGAAGGAGGTTCATGATGACAAGATGGCGATTGATGTTGCATTTAAATTTTTGAAGATTTTAGTTATCAGCAAGTGAGAAGAAAGGAGTTCCACAGGTGGAAGTGCGAGAAAAGAAACTGTTGGAGTTGCATCTAGCTAGTTCAACAGAAAATGGGCGGGACCTAGATGCCAATCTAGTAGCATGCTTAAATTCATGTATTTGGGACACCAGGGAAAAAGTTGCCATGAAAATATTTATAGAAAAGACAGAGGGAAGCCACATTACATCAGTGAGGAAGTTGATTGAAGTCAAGCTGTGCGGACAAATGGTAGATTTATGAATGTGCAGGATGGATTTTCTGATACAACACAGTGAGCCAACTTTCCTTGCAGTAGATGTAAATTCATGTAGTCGAGACACCAGGGGAAAAAAAAAAGAATTATCTTTAATCTTTTTTTCATTTAGTTTTTCTTAATCATTTCACCCCATTACCAAGCAATAAAGCCACAAGGGGTTACTGGGTGTGAAAAAGTGTGAAGAAAAGAAAAAAATATTAAGAAGCAAGAACAATAAAAGAACAGGAATTTAGAAGAAGGTGGAAGAAGTTCCACAAATGAGAAGAATGAACGAACAAAACAGCATAGTGGTTACATTTCAACTGCAAAATGATGAGACCTAGCTGCCAATCTTGTCCAGTGCTTAAATCTGTAAAGATGAGGTAGCAAAGAGGAAAGTTTATCAGAGCAACTAGCATGAAAATATTTATACAAAAGGCACAAGGAAGCTATGTTACGGCAGTGAAAAAGTAACTGAAGCTGATATGCCAGGTCAGGACCAATAACATTGCAAATTCACCTTTGTACACTATCAAGAATCTCTAAAAATACATAGCAGAAACATCTTATTTATTAATGGATTGTCTATGTATTATAGCCAAATGAAAGTCATCTAATACTTCCTTTAATTTATAATTACTGTTTGTTTCTTGAAATTAAAAATTAGTTGACAAATTTTGTGTGTCTTGATTTGTTTAAAGCAGTTATGTTTAACCTTTTTTTTACCCATTCTTTATCACCAAATTATGGGATATCATTCTTCTCTTCCAAGACTGACTGAAAAGGCATATTTTAGAATTAAAGATGAAGAGACTTGGAGTAACTGAAATGTGGTTCTACAGAAAGATGCTGAGGATACCATGGTCCAAACATGCAAGCAACAACAAAGCTTTGGAGAGAATGGAAACAAAAAGAAATTTATACTTTGTTATATATGAATAAATTGTCACTGCCAACACTAGAGTTTGAACATAGATCTCCAGTGAACAAACACAGGCAATCCCATTATTGAATTAAGTGGAGCACTTGACTATAGAGGAAACGCATAAGTAGGAATTAACTTGGCATCTAAATGATCGCCATTTCTAGTCTATCCTCTATTACTATACGGATCGCTATTTCTACTCTATTTATTCACTATTCTCTATACTATTTCTGTATTTGGTTCGCTATAAAGATTACTTTCCAAGCAAGTATTATCGAGCAAGTACCGTTAGTGCGAGTGATATCCGAAGGCATCTGACACCAGTATTGTTCAACGGTATACTATAGTTGTATCTGTGATTACAAATTCTCTCCTACATTACGAAAGTGACAACGAGTATTTATTGACATTACAAAAACGGCAACAAGTGTTTATTTAATCACAAAATACTTAACACCATGAAATTTTAAATTTCTGGGGTAGGTAATGGGGAAGGAGGGCCTTGAAAATCTGATACTCACAGGGCAGAGGGATAAAGGAAAGCAGTGTCTGGCATACTTGATGGGCTTGAGCAAATGGATGGCAGAACAGGGTTTGAAAGAAATAACAAAAAGACAACTTATTAAGATTTAAAAATGACACTGCACAGAGATTTTTTTTAGAAACGTCAGTATGATTTGAATCTGCCAATGTGAAGTTCTAATTCTTTCCTGAAACTTGAAAACTTAGAATTCTCCGCCTCGGAGAGGAAGTAAAAACCACTGGACTAAAGAGATGTTTTTGTTTCTGTTGTGTTTTTTTTTTTTTTTTTTTTTTTCAATTGAAAACAGATACTACACTTGTTTCTTTTGGCAAGATTTCTCCTTTCTCAATAGTCTATTTTACAGTTACATGGATATATTTACAAGTTGTCTGAATTCATCAGACGTAATATTTTTATTAATTTCAGACTATTTTTCTCTTTCATTGTATTTTTTTTGTTTTATTATCTTGTAGTCAGCTTGATTTTTTTATTCTATGACAGTAAACAGTATTGATCAGAAATAAAGAATTAGCCTTTGATAAGGTTTGAATTGGCAGCCTATATCATTAGATGACGAGGGGGTACCCAAAATTGTGTTATATAATTTTATTCATTTATTGTTGCATGTTTATATACTTATCACCTTCAAAGTATTCACCATTTGAAGCAATGCACCGGTCCAGACGTGTTTTCCACTGTTCAAAGCAGTCCTGGAACTCTTGTGAGGTTATGTTTTTTAATGATGCCATCGTTTTCTTCTTAACTTCTTCCGCATCTGCAAAACGTTTTCCTTTGAGGACTTTCTTCATTCAGGAGAAGAAAAAAAAAAAAAAACGTTGTGGGGGCAAGATCAGGTGAATAGGGAGGTTGGGGAAGTGGGGTCATGCCATTCTGGGTCAGAACGTGTCTCACACTCAAGGCAGTATGCGCTGGCACATTGTCATGATGCAACCACCAGCCTCCACTTTGCCACAGGTCAGGGCGTTTTCATCTCACCTTGTCTTGCAAATGCCTCAAGACTTCCAAATAAAATGCCTGGTTAACAGTTTGACCAGGAGGAACAAATTCTTTGTGGAGAATTCCTTTCACATAAAAGAAACAAATCCTCATCGTCTTGACATTGGACTTCACTTGACGAGCTTTTTGGCATTGTGGTGATGTTGGATGCTTCCACTGATTTGATTGCTGCTTTGTTTCCGGGTCGTAGCCATAGCACCAGCTTTCGTCACCAGTGATGACCTTTGAAAAAAGGTCTGGATCAACTTCCAACTGTTCTTTCAGTTTACAACAGGCATCCTTTCAGCCATGGTAAAAATAGACGAAAAGGTGTGAAGCACTTCAAAACAAATGTGAACCACGGAGCTGTACGTCTTCCCACGATGACACCGGTTAGCACACTGATGCCTGAGGGTTGTCTCAAGTGGCATCTAGCGATGGAAGCCTGAATTACTACGGGCTTGTCACACAGAAAATGATTCCGGTTACTTTTGGGTCCCCACTCATACTTAATACTATTTTATCTACTATTACTAGTAGGTGTTAAAAATAAAATTAAATAGAATCTAGTCAAAAATTAAAAATAACATCTGCTTATAAGAAGTTTGTAGAATTTAATACTATATTTCTACTACTCCTAGGTATGAAGTGATAAAAATAAGATGAAATAAAAACTAATAAAGAACTAAGAAAAATACATCTAAGAAATTTGTGGTCATGATTCCTTCCAGAAACTCTTTTCTGAAAGAGATGTTTCCTTAATCATTCCAAAAATTATTTTTCTCTTTAACTTAAAGCAGGTCCTACACTTCTACGGTTCAGGAATTTAGAACTACTACTCTAAAGAATTCCTTTATAATTTCAAAATTAATTTAATTTTGTCTTTCTTGAACTGAGAACAGGTACTACATATTGATCACTTACAAAGTATGAGAATATGATCACTCAATCATCTTTTATTTTTTTCTGTCTCCCTTCATTTTCTATTTTAATGTTTTTCTTCATCCTCCTCTTTCTCTTCTCTTTCAAAAAAAATTCCAGATAGTTCCTCCATTAACCAAGATATTGTAAGTTTTATTGTCCCTTCCTTTCTATCCAACTTCCTTACATCTCTCCCCATTCACCCACTCTTCAGTCATCATTTTTATTTATGAGATACATTCTAGCATGGTTATTATTATTTATTTCAGTACTTACTAAAAACCCTCCTAATAAAAGTTTATCGATCGCTGTTGCATTACTCATCACCCTCCTCTTCTGTCCACTCTGCCTGTCTGTCTCCTCTTTCTCCCACTCACCATTTCTCATTTGCTCCTCTCTCTACCTTCCTCTCTTTTTCTTCCTTATTGTTTTCTCCTTTTCATTCTCTTCCCACCATTACTACAAAATTTGCTGACAGAATAGATTTCTTTCTCTTTCTCTTTTCAGCATTCTCCCCTCCCCACCTCTAATGGAAGTATTTCTGCTTTCTCAATAGTTTATTGGAATACAATACACACACACACACACACACACATGCACACACTCCTAGTCTTATTTCTTTTATAGCATTGGGTTCCCCCATTATCATCACTGCTACTATGACTATCCAGTCCTAGTGATGGTAGCCATAGCAATGATTACTATTTCTATCTACCCTTATTCGTTAACTCTGTACAATTTCCTTTCGTTCTTTTCTATTGGTCTCCCCCTCCTGTTGAATTCATGCAGTCTGATCTTGTTGAATGGTCAGGACAAACTTAAAGATGGACACATTGAATAACAATATTTCTAACTTGTCTGAAATTTCCAAGATGTTTTTATTATTAATTTTAGACTATTTTATCTTTCTTTATATTTTTATATTTTTTTTTTATCTTATTGCAATACTTGGATTAGTTTTACATTCTGTAACTGTAAAGCAAGCATCATGAATCAGAAAGAATGAACAGGATTTAAACTCACAACTTTTATCTTTGGACCACTTATGTCTATTATTTCTACTATTACTAATAAGTATCTCTATCTATAAAAGGCAGGATGTGTGTGTGATGAATGCACAGATGCAATTTTCAACAGATTTGCACCAAAATTTACATGCACATGCTCCAAGTTAGCAGGAAGGCCAAGACTGAGTTTGCTTTTCCCAACTCCAATCGATAGTGGAAATAATTGATTTTTTCATGCTTCTATGGCAGTTTTCATGTAGTTTGCAGCCATTTTCTACTGGCCAGAGTGAGAGCCTATAGCTGGCTGCCACAAATAGGCAGGAAGATTCTATTGGCCAGTGTGAGAGCCAACAGCTGACTGACACGAATGTTAACTAGCATGCTAGCATGCAAAAAAATCGATAGCTGCATTCGTCACAAGTGGGAAAAATTTAAATCTGCATGGCACTTTACTCCAATTGGCTCATTCGCTTGCTTAAACTCAACGTTGATTCTGATTCCACAGAACTGGGTTGGGTGTAAAAAAGTATTTGTTGTTAACATTCTTTTTTCATTCGGTTTTTCCAGTTACGAGTCCTTTTTTAAAGCTGATCGTTTTGTGTTCATTTTGTTTAGTTCTTTTTTCATAACAGATTTAATGTTTAGTATAGAGCTTAGAAAAAATTTGCAGTGTGAGATAGGCAAGAAGTAAGGCATGTAGCAACGTCAGCATGGCAAAGGGCATTCCTTTAAAGGCAAGGAAGGGCAAAAATATTTTAAGTCAAGTGATAGCGATTGCTGTATGAGTCGTACGATTTTTGAATCAAGCACGGGCAACGCCGGGCCATGCTGCTAGTTACATAATAAAAATATGATGAAATAAAATATCATTAAAAATTAATGACAATGCTTCATCTAAGAAATTTGTAGAATTTAATACTATTATGTCTAATACTATTATGAGTATTATGTCCGTTAAGTGACATACATGATACATGCTCGGGTGATCAAGTCTCTTTTGATTCATGACTGGCTAGGCAGAAGATTTTCCCACACTATGTTGCTATTTCTTTCTGCAGTAGACTGGTTGCCAATCAAGGCTATATGACCCAGTCTGTCCTGCTATTCAACCTATAGCTGGAGGAGAAGAGATGGATTCATACCTTTCCCAAGTGTATTAGTGCATAAGCCAATGTAACAAACTCAAATGGAATTCAAACTCTGCTCTCTCATATTGAGCCATCATTCATTACACCACCCACACATCCGTTGTGATAACAATAAGGTGAAATAATATTTAGCCAAAAATTAATGAAAATGCTTCATCTAAGAAATTTGGACACTAAGGTTATCATGCCTCCTAATAAGTAAACAGACAATATAGCAAGAAAGAATATATGACTAAATTTGAATTTTGTTGGCTCATGCCTCTCTATGGTTAAATCAGTTAAGAATGGTGATCTTTCAAGTGTACAGAATACTAGCTCAAGTCTTAGAACCTATTTTATTTTCTGATTCATACTAGATTGTAAAATCGTATGTGCTGTAATAAAAAAAAAAGCAACAAAAATAAGATGAAAGATAAACTAGTCAAAAATTAATCATAAGACAATGCTTCATCTAAGAAAGTTAAGACTATTATGTCTACTAACTAGTACTACTAGCTATAAAGTAATAAAAAGAAAATGAAAGAAAAACCAGAAATTAATAAGAAACTGTATTTAAAATTAATACTTTGCCTTGAAATATTAACCTGCCAAAATTTGTCTTCAGTATTTTTATTTTTTAGTTCCCATCAATCTTCAGTTTAAACCCCTCCCTCAAGGGGTTTATAACACATCTGTTTATCATCTCTCAGTTATGTCTCTGTCTTTGAGCAGAGTGCACTCAGGAGCAACTCCATCAAAAGACTGTCACAACTGAAAAAAATTATACTGAGAGGTGCCCATCCCTGGGGAACAGCTGCCCTAGGCTGTGCCCTCTCATTGCACCAGAGAGAGGGATCGGTTTTTGCACTGAGGCCAGCACAACTGATGGTTGTAGGGTCTGCGGGCAATTTTTGTTCCTTGCCCGGGTGTACGCACTCAGGTGCCCACCTTAAAAAAAGACCTTGTGTCACAACTCGTCTTGGAGAGTCAAAGTAAATACGTAGTTCCCATCAATCTTCAAGTTTTTATTTTTATTTTTTTTATTTTTTGTGGTCTTTGTGTTTAAAAATGTAGAATCTTTAAGTTTGTAATGTTAAACAAACGGAAAGAGAAAATGCTAGGGTTTGAAAAATATTTTACTAAAAGCTGGTATAAACCCATAAGTGGACATCCATTAGAAAATTCAACCATAGTTCTGTTGTTTGAACATACAAAAATATTCTTTTTTACAGCAGGGAGTGAATAAGTGAAATACTCTGCCTCTTTTGGCAATGTCAAGACTTTAGATGTCTTTAAAAAGGAAAAATAGTGAAGTGTTTTCTCATTGCTTTTTCTATGGCTTTAAGCTTAGTCTTCTAAGTTCTAGACTTGCTTTTAAATAAGACTAGAGGGCTTAGTCTACTTTGCTATTTTTTAAAAAGTATATCAAAATATATTTCAATTCTATTGGCAGATGGTAACTGTACTTGTGTAAAAATATGCCTCATCTAATATCTGAAATGCTTTTTTTTTTTAATTCACTCTTTCAATTACTCCTGTTTTCTGCATGATGTCAGTGTTCTTTGTCATATCTTGTACCTAAAGTATGTTTGTCCATTTTGTCTTAAATGACTCCCAGTTTAATAATAATAGATAGCATTGGATTATTTTTGATGGTCTTGTTAATTTTTTTAGGTTTTCACTCACTTTGATCTTTGTGTGGTCCACAGCGATTAACCCTACCACTTCAACTGACCCCACCCAGCAGGTCCTCTTTTCCTTCTTTATAACTCTTGGGTCATGTCTTCTTGCTCAGATTAGGTGTTCAGTCTGCCTGGATCTCTCATTATTAAATCTTTACAAACCAACAGGCTATTTACAATGTCATGATTCAGGTTGTTTGTTATTCAAGATCAAATAACATAAGCATATATTACAGTCTGTCTGGTCTATTAGTGGCAAGGTCACCAAGTGTTTTATGCTGACTCAATTGCATAAATTTTTTTTTTTTTTTTTTCTGATCATTCACTGAATTCAACTTTGAATATCTTTAAATTCTCACTTAATTAGATCACTCAAATATTTTCTTAGTGGTAAACAGTAAAAGAAATGAATTCAATATTAAAATTTTCCTCCTTTATCCTAGATTCTTTGAACAAGGAATAAAAGCATTACTTTTATAATTGGGGGGGCATGTTATCTTTTCCTTGTAGATAGCAAATCAAAGTAGCACAATGTTTTACTATGTAGATATCATTCCAAATTAAAATTTGTACAGTGTAGACATTTTAACCAATGTATATGCTGTTTATTGCTAGAATATAAATAAAAGAAAAATTTTTAATATTTTAATTACATTTTCTTTGTTATATCATACTTATTATAAAACCCAGGTTGTGTGTGTGTCTGTTTTGTTTATATATTGGATTGGATTTCCTACATTTTTCAACCGATTTCAACAAAACTTCACAGGACTACATAAAATTACCTTGCAGTAGTTCTGACAGCACCAAAAATTGGAAAAACACAATTGTTTTTGCACGAAATCAATTTGAAAACACGATTAAGAGGCATCGCTGTCGAGAATGAAAGGGGCACAACTCATATCGAGTTATACTATACCCAGGTTGTTTGTGTGTGTGTTCATTTATATATGGGATCGGATTTCCTACATTTTTCAATCAATTTAACAAAACTTCACTTTTTTTTTTCTTTTTTTTTTGGCAGGTAGTGTTTCTTATTGTCTTGCACACTTTTTTCTTTATTTTCACATTCAGAATACTTTAAAAATTCCATTTCCAAGACAATTGTTTATAATAAAATTCTATTCAATCTGTAGACTCATAACGATTGAAAACAATGCTTTTTGTTTGAGTTTGACCAATTCGTAAAAAAACAAACAAGCAAAAAAAAAACTAATTAAGACATGCGTGTCCGTCAACCTTAAACAATCTTTGTCAATTTTATTTTTCAGTCTTTATGATGGTCGATATTTGATCTATCTCTTACTGTTACATCCCTGGGCAACGCCGGGCTCTACTGCTAGTATGTTATATGTTTTACTGTGTATATATCCTTCCAAAATCATATTTGTACAGTGTAGATGTTTCTTCCTTGTAGATAACATGCAAAATTAGCATCAATTTGCCTCTGCCAGGAATCTAACCTGTATTCCTTTTTTCATCAGGGAAACTGCTTCTATAGGCAGAAACATGTGTTTACCAATTTGGACATAGAGGGCCCACATTAAAAGTATAGAGTTAAAGTGGACTGTAGCAGAAACCTGAAACCCAATCCTAAACAGGAAACAAGAGATCAACCTCTACTCCTGTTCAAAAGACCAAGAAGTGTGAACCGGACAAGAGGCAAATCTATCTACTCTTATTGACATATAAGTAGAAGCACACACACAGGTTGAGATATCAGCCAACCTATTTTTCTAAAAATATATTTATCTCTTCACTAAAATATACATGGGTGACTTCATAAATAAATATTTATCTTAAATGATCACGTCTTTGACACTATTTACTTATCTAAATCTTTATGTGAATGTAAATTGACACACGCACACAAGTTGTAGATCAGAATCCAACAGAATGATAAAATAAAAGAACAAATAGGAAACATATTAATCTAACATGTTTCACTTTTATTAAGCCTTCATCAGAGAGATTGAGAGAAAATAGGCAAAAAGACAGAAAACACTGATATTTTCAATTGTGTCTGGGTCAGTTCTCATTGATCAGACATGTGTCACATGTTTTAAAACCATGGATAATTCTATGTGTATGTAGGTTTGTGAAGAATTTTGTATGTTTAAGTGGGCAATTGAATGGTATTGTGTATTTGTAATTGTGTGCATTTGTCTGTCTAGTAGGGTTTTTTTTATTTTTGCATTGTAAACAATTTATTTGATAAATCCCAGCATTTGAATTGGTGTTGGGATTACTTTTCTTCCTAATTATATCTCCAATTGTCTTGGAAGTGATGATAACGATCCTAGTATTAGGGTGACTAATTATTTACGAGTTTAGTAGAAAGATTGTTGGAGGGCAGGATTATGAATTTTGTGTAATTTATTATATATATACACACACACACACGTGCACACGTGTTTGTTTATTACTGTAAACATTATTTTTTTGTGGGTGCTGCGAGGAAATGGAATCGGAAGGATGAATTCCAAATTCTGGCTAAAGCAGTTTTGCTATTCACTTTACATTAATGGCTTTAGGAAAGGTATACATTCATCTTTCTCCAGTTTGGGCTTAAACAGAATAGCAAACTAACTTCTCTATCCTTGATTAGTAACCAGGCTAGGAGAAGAAAAATGCTGGATGGCAACAGAGAACTACCTTTTTCAAGAGCACTCATTGCAATGCACAACTTACAGATGTTAAAATAAAAAGAACTTTTAAATTAACACCTTTCTCTTTTATGTATATATATATATATATATATATATATATATATATATATATATATATATATACACATAGCAGGACAGATTGGGTTCTATAGCCATGGATGGCAACTGGTCTAGGAGAACAACAACTCTGAATTCAAAACCTGCGGAGGGTCGTTTGGGGACCTTGTGGCACATAGTGCACCAGGTCTCTGTATTCAGCTCTTCAAAAAGTGTGGATGGTCCTGGACGAAACTATCACCTCTATAATCAAATCACATGTGCTGTTATCAGGCTGTCAGTTTCCTAGAAACTGATGTGCTTGACCCTCATACATCAAATTCGACAGGAGTCTAATATATATATATATATATATATATATATATATATATATATATATATAATTATAAACTATAATTTTGGAAAGTGAACATCTCAATATGTTAGAAAATTACAAAGTTTCCATCTGAGATCAAGAAAATACCAATTTTAAAGAAAATGATCATAATATACAGAAGGCGTTAGTTTAAATTGACATTAATTAAATGTAAATTTTTAAAATAAATCCTTAATCCTGTTGTCACTGATTTTATTCTATCTCTGTATAAAAAAAAATGAGTTAACAAATCTAGAACAATTGATGTAGTGATTTTCCAAGCGTAGCTTAGATGTGGTACAAGGCCGAAAGTATGGGACACCCAGTGAGGATCGAACTCACTACTCAGCCGTAATTGATCTAGCAAGACAAGCTTTCTAACCACGTCGAATTGATCTTATTCAAATTTTATAAAACTATTTTTGATCAAGGGGAACTAACTCTGCAAAAGTAAAATGAGTTACCTTACTTGTTAGTCCTTCTCGCTGTTTCCTTTTGTTTATTATTTTAATAATCAAAATAGTAATGTTAGGATCAGGGCGGTGATGATCTGATAAAATTCACTCAGTGAATTTTACAATTGCTAAATTGTCTCTTCGAGATGGACCGTGCAATAACTTATTTTGCATAAGTGTTATAACGGTAGTAGTAAATAAAACTAATAATTTTTATTAAACTTCTAATTGTTGGCTGTAAGTGTAAAGTGTAAACCCCTGTTAAAATTACTGTATATAAGCATATCTTAGATGTGGCACAAGGCCGAAATTATGGAGTACTGAGCGATGATTGAATTCACTACTCGGTCATCATTGATCTAGCAAAACAAGCTCGTTAACCATTACATCATGCCAAAGTTCCCCTATTTAAAAATTAAAATTACAATTCTGTGGCACTATGCATTGGTATATAAGAAGACTTCTTTTTTTTTCTTCAAGGTTTTACTACAAATTTGAGATTTTAATATTTGGTGGCTTACAGCTATATCATGTTGAAACACCGGCTCATATGATCACCAAAGTTAAGCTATGTCAAGCCTGCTCAGTACTTGGTGGGTAACTGCTTGAGAATACCAAGTGCTGTAAGCTTGAATGTACAGCTGGTGTAATAAATAGCAACTCAGAATTGGAAATTCCAATTCCAGTTGGGTTCGTCATATTCACTTACACGTAAATACCCATGGGAAAGGCATGAATCTACCTCCCAGCTATGGGTTAATTATTAGGAATTGTATTAATAAATCATTGTTATCTCCTAACCAGTTTCATCTAAAAATATTTTATAGCTTTAAATAACCTGCAGAACGTTGATAAACCATAAAAACAAACAAATCAATCAATCTAATATTTGCGGTGGGGTAACTGTGGCACTTTTATGCCATCAAATACAGTCTATCTATCTGTTAATTAAAATTGTGCATATACATCGCATTAGCAATACATACATTTGCTATAAAAACAAAATTTATTCAGTAATGTTGGTATCTCCAAAGAAAAGTGATATCTAAGTTTTAAAATGCATTTAAATAAATGAAAATCTTGAATCTTCTATTTTAGTTTTAATTTCAAGCTAATATATTAAATTTAATATTTCCAATAAGCAAAATACTTTGCTCTGTTTCAAACTAAATTTAAATTGATTGGAATTATTTTTTTATTTTTTCAGTAAAAACATTAAACTAGTCCATATTGACAAATCTGTCAACACAATAGATTTCACTTTATTAAAAACTTTTTTAAAATTAAAATATACTTTCCTGAAATTTTATTTGATGAAGATTAGCTGATTTAAAGTATAATTGATCTAATTTAATTAAATATTATTTTTAGTTTAAAATATTGCAGAAAGGCATTTTTAATATGGAAGTAGTTACTTTTATGAGCTGTTGATAACTCCCTCAATCAACTTATGTAAGGGAATTTTTTCTAACAATTACTTGAAAATATAACATGAACACGATTTTTATATAATTTGTTTAAATACCCAGTAATCTTAAGAATTTAAGAAAATATTCTAAGCAATCTAATATTTTAGCTACTTTGGCTTTATAGTCTAACTTTTGAATAGGCTTGTTGAGAGGTTAGAAAATTACCAATAAAATTTATTTTAAATTTTTTTATAAAATTCTCTATTCATTGGTAATTTTCTCTGCTATACTTACTGCTCTTATTTTCTGATAATGTCACTTTTGGACATCTGTATTTACAAAAATTGACACATTTATACACACAAAACATAAATTCAAACTTTTTTTTTTTAAATATGGTTGGCTCATGTAATTGTAGTGAGATTTCCCATTTGTAGTTTTAATTTAATAAGAATATCACTTGACCATTACAAATTAATAAAGAATTTTTTTTTAAATTGTAAAATTTCATTATGCAATGAGAATTTTTTTTCTTAAGACAGTAGTGTCCATAATATACAAAAGAGCAATTAACAGCTTTTTCTAATTAAATAATAAATTATTTTTATTGTATTTTTTATTTTATTTTTACTATTTGGAGCAGATTTTCTGTAATTGGGTTTTTTTTTTTTTTGACAAAAAAGTTTCATTATTCAAATTGTCCAAGGATTTGTTCTTATAACTCTTACAAGCATTAAGCACTACAAAATGTATTTAACTTTCATAAAATTAAGTGACTGTAAAAAAAAAAAATTGCAAGGATTTTCTAAAAAAAAAAAAAAAAAAAAACTTTGTAAAATTTTTTAAAAATAATTTCACTCATTTGTTCATAAGTCCTGAAAGTTTCATTAAAATTCGACAATTATTTCATTTTTGCAAGAATTTCCAAATTGATGTGTTTTTCACCACTAAAAATATGCTAAACTTTCCCATACTAATTTTTATGGTACAACGTTGACACTGAAGAAACAAGATTTATAAACCAATATTTCGAACATTCTAAAAAGGATTTTTTTAAATAATTTTCAAATCAAAAATACTTTCATCTTTCCCTCTTCATAATAAATAACACAAAGATTTTGTTGATAAAACTTTATTTCTTTTATCATGTATTCTCATTTTTTCTTTAGCGAATCTTTACCAATTTGTAATGTATTTGCTAATGGGAAATAAAATTTTATAAGAAGGGAGAAATATTTTTTCTTTAATTAAAAAAAAAAAGAAAAAATAAGCCTTTGGATTTGCTTTGCGTGACGGTCACTTTCTTAGAATCTTGGAAGAGAGAAATTCCATTCTGAAATATGGTGGACAGGGAAAGAGGTTCATGGTCAAAAAGATGAGTGACAACCACTGCCTTTATTTGTTTTGTTTTTTTCTTTTTTTTTTTTTTTTTTTTTTTTTTTTTTTTTTTTTTTTTTTTTTTTTTTCTTTTTTTTTTTTTTTTTTTGCAACTGTCGGCCTAGAATCTAAGGGGCATAACTCTTGCTTTTGTAATTTGTTAAGTCGTATTTATGCACCTTGTTCGTTCGGCGAAGAATGACACGGCGTCATTTTTAATGTGTGATGGCACATATCATGACACATTGTCTTAACATATTGGGAAGGGACAAAAACTGCCTACTTTCTCTACTTGTTCTGGCCTTAGGTATGAGGGAATAGGCCTGTGAACTTGTGGATGTAAATATAATTATTACTTTTATTTACTTAGGTTTAAAAATAAAATGAATTTTTAAAAATGAAAAATCTTTCTTGAAGAATTTGAGTTTTAATTTCAAGCTAATACAGTGTAACCCGGATGTAAGAGAGTTGTCGGGACCGGAGACGAAGTCTCTTATATCCGGGTTTGGTCTATTTTATATACATTAACACAGGCTCTAATTTGGGACCAGAGAAAATCTCTCTTATATCCGGGTTACACTGTAGATTAAATTTAATATTTCCAATAAGCAAGTACAATACTTTGCTGTATTTCAAAACTTAATTTAAATTGACTAGGAGCTTTTGTTTTTTTTTTTCTTAACTAACTGATTTCAGCATTTTTAACCATCATTCATTGCAATGTAATTCTCTTTATTAAAAATATTCCCAAAATAAAATATACTTTTCTGAAAATTTATTTGAGGAATATTAGCTGATTTAAAGTTTAATTAATTTGATTTAAAACAAATATTACTTACTTTAAGTTTAAAATATCACAGATATGCATTTTTTTAACACAGTGGTAGGTGTTGACAGCTTCAATGACAGATGTATATTTATCTAAGGTTTTCTATGGTGGATATATCTGTAAAAAATAATTGAAGAATATAATGTTAGTGCCTTATATATATATGATTTTTAAGTATTCTGTAATTTTCAAAATTTAGGCAAATGTTCTCCATTTTCTAATGTTTTATTGAATTTTAGTCACTTTGGCTTTAAATTTACTATATTTATCACTCTTATTTTCTGGTAATGTTGAGTTTGCTTGCCCATATCTGCAAAAATCAGCACATTTATACACGTAAAAAAATTCAAAATTCTTCAAAATTTGAAGGTCCTTAAATTGTAATAAGCTTTTTGATTTATAATTACTATATGTAGTTTTTACTTATTAAGAATATTAACTAACCATTACACCATTAAACAGAATTTTAAAAGATTAAAACTTTATTAATTATTCTAATAAAAAATTTTTAAAATAAAAACAATTCTTTTAAAAATTATTTATTCATTGTAAAAAAAATTTTCTTAAGACAATTGTGGCACTAATATATCTTTATTCATAAAAGCAATTAAAAGCTCTTGTAATTAAATAATGTCTTAGTTTTATTGAATTTTTTTATTTTACAATTCAGAGCAGATTTTCATTAACTGGAGTTCCTGTTTTACAAACAGAAATTGATTTAAATTCTCTAACGAGTTCTGCTTTGAACTAATATGAATATTAAGTGGTACACTAATGAATTTCTGTGATTTCTGTAAAATTATTTAAGTAAGGAGATAACAGATTTAAAAAAAAAAAATTTCTAAAATAATTTCATTTATTTCTGAATAACTCCTGAAAGTTTCATCAAAATCCAACAATTATTTGATTTTTGAAAGAATTTCAAGTCAGTGTTTTTCACTGCCAAAAAACATGCTAAAATGTACTGTGCTAATTCATTGTCTGCCTGTTGATGCAAGAAAAACAAGATTTTTAACCAAAATTTCAAATGTTCTAAAAAGGATAAAAAAAAAAAAAAGACTTTGGTCTTTCATCTTAATAATACTTATAAAGGTTTTGATTATAAAATTTTGTTTTTTATCAAGTTTGGGGCATATTTTCATCATTATATATATTTTTTTTTTTTTTCCAGTGAATTAGTGGAGGTATTTGCATTAAACATTATTATTTAATGGATACTCATATTTTTTTTCCTTTTTTTTGTTAAGTGTGATCTATTCAAAAAAATCCTAGTGATCAAAGCTGCATTCCCTACCCCCCCTTTTTTTTTCTTTTTTTTTTTTTTTTAATATAGAAGAAATCACCATTTGATCTGGTGTGCTTTACCCTTTAGTTACAAGCACCATTCATTTTCCCTTTTTATTTACTATTTACTTCTATTTACACTATTTACTTCTATTTACCCCCCCCCCTTTTTTTTTTTAAAAAAGGTGGGGGATAAATAGAGCCTTTCTGAATTGTTTTGCTCTTCATAGCCAAATGGTAAAGCACACTAGATCGAATAACACTTTCTCCTACAAAGAGGGACACAGAGAAATATACACTGTGTAAAGTAAAAATAAGATTGGAACATCTATTTCAAATACATCTTCCTAGGTATGATGATAAACTACATCTGGCAGCAAGGTCTCTGATTGGGAGATTGGATGTTTTGAGGCATGTAAAACCATCCCTTAATTGCTATTGTTCCCAGGTCCACCCTGACCCAGAGTGGTAGCACCTGTTGGGGTCTCAGCTATGGGCAAATAGGTCAGTTATGTGCTATTATACATGACATACATCGACACATAACTGACAAGACAGATTTTTTTTCCTGCAGTAGGTTGCCATTTCTTTCTGCAGTAGACCAATTGACATCCAAGTCTATAGAACCTGGTCTGTCTTGCTATTTACCCATGGCTGTGGGGAGGATTCATACCTTTCCCAAGGGTATTAGCATGGATATTCAACTGGAATTCGAACTCGGCTCTCTGATTCCTCAATCTGAGCCACTATCCATGAATCCACTGTGCCTATGCAAGTATAAAAATAGATTGTTACAGTAAAAATACCAGCAATACATTTTTATAACAAAATGACCAACAATATATTTTATCTGTAGTTGAAGGTATACAATTGTATTCAAAATATATTTAGTTGAAGCCATAAAGTTCAAAATGTTTAAATTTTGGCATTAAATAACCCATAGAGGTGTTGATATGCCAGTTCATTTCAAATATGAGTATCCACTATAATAACATTCAAAGTAAAAAAAATAAATGTCTGATTAAATCCATTAATTCTTTAGAAATGATACTTGTTCTTCAATCTTAGACGATCAGGGGTCAAGTATAAAAATAGTCAGTAAACAAGAGACAAATTATTTAATCACCAACAAAAAAAAAACAAAACACCTAATGATTTTTTTGTGTTTTTTGTTTTCTCCAAATTATTTTTCTATTTCTTCCTCTTGTTTTCAGATTTGAAGCATTTTTCCAGCACTTATTTGAATGAGCCTGTGTCCTCGAACTCGATCCATCACCAAGCCGGGGACAGTTCTGACATGTCGATGCCCTCCCTTTCTAGCAATGGTGGGCCCTCCCCTTCCACAGGTAGCAGCAGTAACAGCAAGGGATACAACAATAGAAGAGCTTTTATCATCCTTGGTGCCATCTTCCTCTCATCCGTCTTGATAATGGTTGTCATTTATCTACGATTCCCAAATATGGATCCGTAAGTTACAAACTAAGCTTCTTTTTATTTCAACCTATTACAATTATTCAGTTTCTGTTTTGGGATATTATTGTTACTACAGGGTGCGACAGAAATACCTCTCACATATCTTCCATATAATGGTAAAACATTAGTGGCAATGATGTCTTCATCTAGCTAATGTCGTACCCTTATGCAGGAGGTATTTCTGCCATGCCATGTATAGCAAAAGGTGGGTGAAAAACGGCACATCATAGCAAGATTGTTGTTGGGGCAATACTTTTAAAATAAATCCCTTTTCTCCTTTCCTCTAAAAAGAAAAATAATTACCTACTGCCTCCAAGTTTCATTTGCAGTGAAAGTATAATAGGTCTTGTAATGGCAGATACTAAGTTCGTTTTTTATTTGTATCTTCTTTTGTTCTTCCCATGTATATGTTTATTTTTTTGCTTTTGTTTTCTACAATGAGCTACTTTGGCAACCTAAAAGAATGGTAGACAAACAGGTTTCTGAATTTAATAGGTTGAAATGTATAATGAAATGGTTAAAAAGATGGAACTTGTGTGTGATTCAAAGAAAGTCAAGTCTCTTGATTTGGAGAAATGGAGGTGATTGTTTTATCACAGGTGGAGGAGGTTAAAAATTAAATTAATTTAAATTTTTTTTTAAGGTATCTTTGCTTGTTATTCTCCCCTGGTTCACCACTCGGCCTCTAATCCCCATACCTTATTGCTCATCCCCTCTTTTACCGTTCTTCATCCCAAACACTCCTATATCATATCTGGCTCTCCTTTCCCCAACACTAGGCTAAGATATATATATATATATATATATATATATATAGTTAAGTAATGAAAATCTTGGTAATCTGTATAGATAATTCTGAGTGGGGATGAAATCCAGAGAGCTCAATGTTAAATCAGAGCGATTAATTCAATGAAAACAGACAACATTAAGGGTTCATTGGTTATAATTTATTTCCCCAGGGAATTTCTTTTTCCCTGGTTCATCATACCACACTTCGAAGAGTGAAAAAAATGAATTTAAATTTACATATATTTTTATACACTTTTGAGGTTTTTAAGTTGATGTAAGGTGATAGAGAGAGTGAGAAGAGAGTGATATATATATATATATATATATAGTTTTTAGGTATTCTATATTTATGGGTTAAAGTTCTCAATATCAGTGATAGAGCATATTTGAATATAAAAGTGGACATTGAAGTTGTAAACTCATATGACCTGTTGATTTTGTATAAGCATGAAACAATTGTTGCTGGGTATTGACTTCAATGTCCACTTTGCTCCTTTATTTATTTATTTATTTATTTATTTATATCAATTTCATCCCAAGTAAAGTCACTAGGGCACTAGAGGTTACTGGGTGTGGAAGAATGATAAAACAGAAACTTTACTAAGGAGTAAGAACAAAAGAAGTGTAATCAGGGGGAGAGTAGATAGCGATTGACATTGTGTTTAAATTTTTGCAGATTAAAGTGGGCTGGAAAGTATGGAACTGGAAGGGAGTTCCACAAGTGAGAAGTGTGAGAAAAGAACTTACAGTTGCATCTAGCCAACTCACCTGTATATTGGTGAAACCTCATTACCAATCTCGTACTATGCTTAAATTCATAAAGTCTAGGTACCCTGGTGAAGAACTCATCTGAACAACTACCATGAAAGTATTTATAGAAAAGGCACAGGGAGGTAACCTTAAAGTAGTGGAAAATTGATTGAAGCCAGATCAGGACCAATAATATTGCTGATTCTTGTTTGTATTTTATCAAAGATTTCTGGATATACAGTAGCGTCCAAAACTAAGGGACAAAATTTTAAAACCTAATATTTGTTAGAAATAACAACTGTGAAAAGCTGAAATTTTGACAACTGGTAGTCGTTATCATCCATAATAACATACTAAAATTTGAATCATTTGCAAAGGATAGAAAAAGAATTATAACAATTATTTATTTATTTTCAAATTTGGAACGTCCAAAAGTAAGGGACAAAATTGAGAAAAACAATGTAAATGGCAAAAAAACAATAAAAATACATGTACAATCAATATTTAGTAAATGAGCCCTTGCTCTCAATGACAGCTGCACATCTTCGACTACAAGAACGAATCAGTTCTTGACAATCCTCGATACTAATTTTAGACCATTCTTCTTGAAGCTTCACCCACAAATCCTCCGTGTTAGTGAGATTTCTTTCCATAACTTTCACTCCTAAGGTCTTCCAAAGATTTTCTATTGGATTTAAATCAGGATTTTGCGGTGGCTAATCCATAATTTCCAAATCTTGCTCGCTAAGGTAACTCATTACCACCTTTGCCTTGTGACATGAGGGCATTATCTTGCATAAATGTAGCCCCATTAAGTCTTTTGAATTCTGTATGATTGGCACAACATGATCTTGAACAATGTTTTTATAGATCTGCGCGTTTACACGAGTTTGTAACCGGACAAGAGGCGTTGTACCTTGGCTAGAAAACATTCCAAATACCATGACACTTCCGCCCCAAACTTGACAGTTTTCTTAGTACACTTTGCACTTAATCTTTCACCAATACGTCTCTTTTACATTGTTTTTTCCATCATTTCCAAATAAATTAAACTTGCTTTCATCACTGAAAAATACTTTTGCCCAATTTTCATATGTCTAAATTACATACCTGTTTGCAAACTCTAATCTCTTCTTCTTATTCTTCGAACTAACAAGTGGTTTCTTTCCTGGGGTTCGATTTCTTGCAGTCGTCTACAGTCTGTCTTGACACATTAACACATGAGGTACTATTCATAACCCTTTTAATTTCTGTGCAAGACTTAAAACGGTCCTTTAATGACATACGCTGCATTATTCGATCTTCTCTTGCCGAAGTTTTGCGGGGTCTGCCAGTTTTAAAAGCACTAACTATTTTGCCAGTATCATTGTAGGATTTAACAACCCTGCCTACAACACTCTTGGAACGTTTCACTTTCTCTGAAATCTCTCTAATGGTGTGCTTTTCCTTGTGTAGCTTCACAATAGCTTGTCTCACAGGGTAATCAAGTTTTTGGTGTTTTGCCATGGTGCCAGCTGATGCAACATTTACAAATGACTAAGTAAGACTTATTCTTTAGAGGAAATCAAAAAATTTGAATATAGCATACTGTTTACATTGTTTTTCTCAATTTTGTCCCTTACTTTTGGACGATCCTATTTTGAAAATAAATAATTGTTATAATTCTTTTTCTATCCTTTGCAAATGATTCAAATTTTAGTATGTTATTATGGATGATAACGACTACCAGTTGTCAAAATTTCAGCTTTTCACAGTTGTTATTTCTAACAAATATTAGGTTTTAAAATTTTGTCCCTTACTTTTGGACGCTACTGTATATGATGGGATCAAGGATCTCTAGATATATTTTTATGATTAGTTTTTTTTTTTGTTTTTTATTATACTAATGTTCACTCAATACCAGACCTAAGAACCACTCAAGCTAGATGATTACTATATTGTGTTGTATGTGCAAAAGAAAAGGCAAGATGTGAAGTTCATACAGTTATTTAGGAAAGATAATGGTTAACCCTAAACTTGACAAGATCAAGATTGCAGTGATTGGGACAACATCCTACCAGGAAGAAGCTGTCTGAGTGAAACTTCCTCCTTGCTAATGGAATATGAAGGGAATGAGGATAAATCATCCTGGGGTACATGGCATGACAGGTCCAAGTTGTAACAGTCAGGGCTGGTGGAACCAAGGAATATACCTCGTCAAAACACATGCTATAGAAATAGCAAAAGAGTAGTGAGAGGCTAGTGACATCTCTTGGATAGGAGTTGTCGGGTAAAAAATAATTCATCACCCACAAGGCCATGTAAATGCATTTGAACTCTGTCAAGACAGTCAAGACTGGGCAGCAATAAGCCATTTTTTTGTCTAATCTGGCTCTTATAAAGATAGTATAGCAGCAGGAGACAGATGCTTACTGGAGTGGTACAATGAACAAACCATATTCCCAAGCATGTTCAATAATAGATTGGATATATATATATATATATATATATATATATATATATATATATATATATGTGTGTGTAATAGAATTTGGGGATTTAGGCAAATCATTATAGTAATTCATTGAGTCTAGGAGAATCCTCAATAGAATGCAGAAAGCACTGGACAGCCGTTTTGGGAATCATCAGAAGTGCACATCCATTAACGAGATTCAAAACCAAACCATTTCAATACAATGCAAGCATCATACCAACTGTACCAACAGGCCTCAGTGAATAGACTAGATATAGTGCCGCTACTCACAAATTCCATGGTAATACTCATCTAAATATTCATAAACCAATGGATTGTGTCCCAAGAGCCATGACTATCCTTTCTCCTGAACTGCTCCATCACAGAGCATTAGCTGGGTCAAGCAAGGATATACAAGTAATAGAATTTTTTGGGCATTTAAGCAAATCTACATACATATATATATATATATATATATATATATATATATATATAATATATATGAGTTTAACTTGAGTTCTGGGGAGAGCTTGGGTCTCAATAGATGTTTAAAACAAGAGCCTCCTTGGGGAACACCAATCCATCATGATAGGTGAAAGTTTCGGGTCTGCTCGGTGATGGTAAAATGCTACTAGTTTTTATTTGGCCATATTGTGTTTTACAAGCCAGTCCTTCTCCCATTGTCACTTACAACTATATCATGTTTAAACATTAGTTCCTGTAATCACCAGTTAAGTAAAGCTGAGCCTGGTCACTACCTGAATAGGTGACAACTTTGGGATACCAGGTGCTATAAGCTTGGAGGTGTGGGTGGTGTAATGGATAAAGTCTTGGAATTGTTAATGAGAGAGCTGAGTTCCAATTCCTGTACAATCACCGAAGTCAGTACCTAGATGGCTGACCACTTTGGCATACCAGGTGCTGTAACCTTGGATGTGAGGGTGGTGTAATGGATAATGGCATTACAGTGAGGTGAAACAGTGTTCAAACCATTCAAAAGATATTTGCTACTACTGGAAGTGCTTTGCATCCAGTTGAACCTGCAAAAGTTCATTTTGGAAGACCAGAAAAGTTAAACAAGAGAACCAAAGAAAGCTTGTGAGAGTCTTGGTCAGCAATCCAAAATCAACATCCAGTTGAGTTAAGGATTGAATTCAGTCTTAACAGTGAGGCTTTTACGGGGGAAAAACGACTTATACTGGCATATAGCAGCAAAAAAATATTAAATGAAAAACATTGGAATAGGAGATTGATTAAAAGCACATAGGCTTACGCCCACATCACAATGAAACACCGGTTTCTATACGATGACCAAAGTTAAGCAAAGTCAAGCCTGGTCAGTACCTAGATGGGTGACCACTTCAGAATACCAGGTTCTGTAAGCTTGGATGTGTGGGAGAGCCAATTTCCGATCCCTATTGTGTTCATTATATTCACTTATGCACAAATGCCCTTGGGAAATGTATGAATCCACCTCTTCTCCCCCTAGCTATTGGCTAATTAGTAAGACTTGTATCATTAAACCATTATTATCTCAGAAAACTTCTTACAATCTAAAAATATTTTCTGGCGTAAATAACCTGCAAAGAGTTAAGCCATAGAAAATGAATCAATGAATTAATCAAATACTGATTAGCTGCACAGACATGTTTTTAGATTTATTTAGATTATCTGGAATATAAATGTATAGAAACTATCATGATCACAAAATGAGGGATCAATTTATATATTCATTGTAATTTAGAATTGATCCCCCACTTTATATCCACATTATAATTTCTTGTTTGTTTATCAAATTCTGATTAGCTACAAATCTACCTCTTCTCTTTCCATGGATTAATTAGTAAGATTTGTATCGTTAAATCCTTACTATCTAAAAAAAAAAATTCTTACAATCTAAAAATATTTTCTGGCTTTAAATAACCTGCAAAGTGTTGATAAGCCATAGAAAACGAATCAATCACATTGATGCAAATGGTAGCACTTGGTACTATTTCCAAACCAGCAAAGACCTATAATAATGTGCAGTATGATCTGATTTGTGATGTATTTTTATTTTCTGAGTTTCTCAAATATGAACATATAGAAACTACTGTGGCCACAAAGTGAGGGATTAGTTTTCCACCTCTTCTTCCCCAAATATGGGTTAATTAGTAAGACATGTATCAATAAAACTATTATCTCCCCCCACCAAAAAAAAAAAAAACATTCTTACAATCTAAAAGCATTTTCTGGTTTAAAATAAGCTACAAAGGGTTGATAAACAATAAAAAAAAAAAAACAAATCAATCTTTCCCTAATTGAGCAACCTGGTCTGAATTAAGAGAGATGAATTGCTAGGTTCTGGTCATTCAGATTTTTGGATGTTCACCTATAAACCATTTTATTACTCACACATCATATTCATATATATATATATATATATATATATGAGAGGAAGCCTCTGGTTAGCAAGGTAAAATTTGACCTTGCTAAGTAAATGCTTCCTCTGTAGGTAAATGGTATAGCACATCAGGCTATATGATAGTTTTGTGTAGGATACAAGTTCGATTCCTGTTGGAGGACACCTTTTTTTCTATGAGATTTCTCAGACATTCAGGCCGGTAAATGTTGTTAATATTGTTTATTATAAACAGAGCATTTACTTAAATATTTGTATCTATAAAAATAACGTATAAACAGAAAATATATTAAAATATATATTCACAAAACTTTGGAAAATGACTTTTTCAATACTAAACAATGGGACATTTTACAGGGTCTGTTATCTGATTGGCCAAATTCTGGTCTATAACTCACATTGTGCCATATTGTTAAAGGGATAGTTTTTGTTTGTAGCAAGAGAATCACTTTTATTGATTTTTAAGAAAACAATCTTATAAGTTAATGAACCGATAAATTATTAAAAAGTGACCCTTTAAGGGCTACACAATTTAATGTGTAATGTTGACATTATTTTTTTTGTCTTCTTTTTTTAGCTTAGAAAAACAGTACATCAAAGTTCCCCAAGACATTGGTGATGCTAAAAATCTCGGCCGTGTTCTCTCAAGATACAAAGACAAGTATTTCTACCAAGTGCTTCTTGGTTACTTCATTGTCTATATTTTGTATCCTTTTTTTGCACATTATATGAAAAAAAGTAAATTTCCAAATAGTTTCAAAAAAGCAATTCTATTTATTTGTTTTTGTTTTTTACTATGTGGAATTATGTAAACTGTTTATTCCACTGTCTGTCATTAGAAAGAAAATAATTACTAATGGTATGAAATCTTGGCCTTTTTAATTGCTTTGTAATATTTTGTGCTCTTTTTAAATCTGATGATTGGGTTTCATATATGCATGTGTTTAGAAAAATATGAAAATTGGAAACATTTTTGTGACACATTTCATCTGCTAGGATTTCATTGAATGAAACGCATCACAAAAACTTTTCCAGTTTGTCATACTTTTCTCAATATTGTTGATAGATAAAATTATACAAATTATATATTGTATCATACTAATATATAATATATATATACATATATATATACATATATATATATATATATATATATATATATATATATATATATATATATATATATGGAGAAATATAGTTTAAAAGGTGTGCTATATTTATGGGATAAAATAAATATACAAAACAACCGTCAGAATGGACTACCCACAATGCACCACTGAACCGTATATATAAACAGTCGAGGCAAGAAAAAACCCAACACACATGGCCTGATGATTGTGTCTAGCATGAAACAGTCTGTCATCTCTGAGTATTGACTTCAATGTTCATTTATATATATATATATATATATATATATATATATATATATATATAAATGAATAAAAACACAAGAGGAAAAACTATACTCAGCTGACATGTTTTGACCTCTGAGGGACTTTATCAAGGCAAATGTACAATTTATTTTGTTGCATGTGTTTATATACAAGAGCAAGGATGTCTCAAATTTAAGATCCTTGATAAACCAATGATATCCTTGCGCCTGTATATAAACACATGCAACAAAATAAATTATACATTTGCCTTGCTAAATTTCCTCAGAAGTCAAAATATGTCAGCTGAGAATAGTTTTTCCTCTTGTGTTTTTATTCATTTTATATATATATATATATATATATATATATATATGTATAAAATGAACATTGAAGTCAATATTCAGAGGTGACAGACTGTTTCGTGCTAGATGCAATCGTCAGGCCACATGTGTTGGATTTTTTTTCTCGACTATTTATATGTATGGGTGAATGGTGCATTGTGGGTAGTCCATTCTTACGGTTATTTTGGCGGCAGTGGTTTGTATATTTATTTGGGTTAATCTATTGTTTTATTTTATATATTTATTTATTCTTTTCAGTTTTTGATGTTTTAGTAACTATAAAAAAAAAATCTTTATTTTTATTTATATATATATATATAATCTCACAAGTCACTGCTCAAATGCCATCATATTGTAATTTTTTTTTTTTTTTTTTTGTAAACTAATTTTTTTTCTTCTAAATCTGCAAGCTATTAATTGGTATTGATCATTTAGCTCTGATTTATACCAAATAATTAAGTGTTTTTTTTTTTTCCTTAACCCTTTGTAGTTTACAATCTTTTGCCATTCCAGGTTCTATATTCCTCAGCATTTTATCTGGGTTCCTCTTTTCATTCCCCCTGGCCCTATTTTTGGTCTGTTTGGTAAGTTGCTAAAATTTTTTTTTTTCTTGATTTTTGTTTCCACATCTAAATTGGATGTGCAGGTGGTGTAATGGATACTGGATGTAAATGAGAAATTAGAGAGCCAAGTTCATATTCCAGTAATTTGTTACAATCATTTAGGTAGGCACAAATACCCTTGGGGAAGGTAGGAATTCATCTTTCTCCCTCCAGCTATGGGTTAAGTAGTAGAGCAGACTGGTCTTTTCACTCTTAATTGGTAACCAGGCAAGAAGTTCATCTCTGATATGGGGGAAAAAAAGCAAAAAAAAAACCAGCTAAGCATGTATTATATGCAGCTTATGAAAGGATTGTTGAGTCCACAATGACTCTGTCCACATATATTTTGTATTTCAAATATCTAAGTTTGAAACTTGGCTGGTAAGAAAGATGGTTCACTGTATCAAGATGCCCATTTTCTCTCCAGAATCTCTCTTCAGTATCTGTCTATATTTCTGAGATGAGGTATTATGTACATTATTTACATTATTCGGACTATTGTCCTCATCTTTGTCGCCATATTTAAGGAATCAGCACATATGCTAGGCTACAAAAATCTCCTGAGCCGACCAAGCATAGAAATAAATACAATATGGGAACCAGTAATAAGGAGTGCCAGAGAAAAGCAATGATAATAACTAAGATGCAATATGAGCTCTGGTAAAAACATGAAATGATAACAGCAAAAATTGCAATATGAGCACTGGTAAAAATGGTTTCTGAAGACATTAGGTTTATAATACCCAGAATTTCATACCCAGATGTCCTCAAGGACACATGGCAAAGTGGATAAAGGCGTTGGTTAGATCCAGTGACAGAACCCAAAGAGTGTGAGTTCAATACCCGGTTAAGGTGAACTTTCAGAGGGAAAATTAACAGGAGATAACTGATAACTGACATCCATTAAACATGGCACGTAGAACTAGAACAGTCTACTCCAGTGAGCGAAATAAAGGGTTCAGTTCGACCACCTGAAGAAAGCTGGAGCCGAAACATAATAAATATGGTTACATAGTCCGAATAATGTAAATAAAATCTCTTTTAAATATCTACTATTCACCCATACTTAGAATATTGCTGCCACATATGGTCTGGTGCTCCTGCTATATATCTAGAAATCCTTGATGAAATCCAAAGAAGAATCAACAATATTATTGATCCTGATCTTGCATCTTGGCTTCTGTCACTTTCCCGCTCATGTTTCTTTTTCTATAAATACTTTCATGGTAACTGTTCAGGTGAAATTTTCACTATGGTACGTACACTTTATGAATTTAAATGTAGTAGTAGACAAGGAGGCATGGTGGATTAATGGATAGTGGCTTGGATTGAGGAATTGGAGAGCCGAGTTCGAATTCCAGTCAAATCCATTACATTTACTTACAAGAAAGGTATGAATCCTCTTCTTCTTCACCCAGCTATCGCCTTGGATGACATCTGGTTTACCGCAGAAAGAAATGGCAACCTGCTGCGGGAAAAAAATCTGCCTCGTCAGTCATGTATCAAAAGGTACATGATCGCCTAAGTATGTATCACGCACGGCACATGCTGACTAGACTGGCAATGAGGTCTCATCGACATACAGTTGAGTTGGCTTGATGTAACCATAATTTCTATGCTAACAATTTCTTTTCTCACACATCTCAATTGTGGAACCCCCTTTCAGGTCCATGCTTTCTGGCCAACTTTACTCTTCAAAAATTGAAATGCAATTTCAATCACTATCTACTATCTCCTGATTACTCTTCTTCTGTACTCACCCCTTAGTAATGTTTCTTTTTCTAATTCTTTCACACCCTGTAACCCCTTGTGTCTCAGTGGCTTGGGGTGAACTTGAGTTTTAAAAACAAAAAAAAATGTATATGTAAGAAATATACCCTATCTTCCTTTGTCATGTCATAAAATCAACCTACAAATGTAGCAATTTTCAAAAGATCAATTTATTATTGTTTTTTTTTTTTTTTTATTTTGCCTGTAGAATTGAAAAGGTAGCATCCTAGGTATACAATATTTGGCAAGATGATGATGAGAAGAAGCCCTTTAGTCATGCTGAAATACGCTATAGTTTTTTAATGAATTTTTCTTATTTCTTGTCTGCTAGAATAATGAACTCTCATATCAGACCGCAGGCAAGTAAAAAGAAAAAAAAAATTTCATATATATTTTCTAACAGTTGCCATGGTAGTAAGTAAAGAGACTGAACAACAGGATTTGATACTGCAAAATGCTTTATTTACACGCTGATTCAAGCAAAGATTTTGCTCAGTCTACTGGCCCCAAGGTGTACTTTCCTTTAATTAACTCTTGACTGAGTCCATTCAGCTTTCTTGGGGATACCCAACAATATTAAACTTCTAAGGGCTATTTGCAATCCTGACCAAGAAGAGACTACCAAAAACTGATGTTTGGTCTTTCGGTCAGATTTTAGGAAGTGTTTCAGGCCAAGAACTTTTCAGCACCCCCTCATAAAAGCAAAAAACAACCATTTTGTTTTTCCAGTTTTGTTTTCATAAATTACAGATATGAAAATTAGTAAAATAAGACATCATCATATGAGAAATGTGACCAGGAAAATTTTGCAGAATAATGGACAGTGTGACATTTTTTTTTTTCTGCATTTTTCTTTGGAACTTCTATCACATGAAAGCAGCCAAATATATAAAATTAACAAGGTGTATCTTTGTTTCACACACACACACACACACATACACACACACATATATAATTATATAATAATAATAATTTACAATAAAAACATTTTACATCGCTACACAAAAACTTTCATGTTTTGGTACTGAGACGGTACCTCATCAGGCAATGGCAGATAAATAATTGCAAAAATGATTTATTAGGGAAATTTAAAAAAAAATATCATCTCTTTTCGTAAGTTAAAGTGGGGGGGCATAAGGTCAGGATTAGAAATATACTTATGGTTATGGCTAGATTAAGCAATGAACATCACATCTACGCTAACATATTAACATCAGAGGGTGGAGGTAGGTGGGTGGCTTATTATTATGAAGACTGATACTTAGACATGTCATTCAACAATGCTTGAGAACAATTATGGCAACAAATGTAATATTGGTGTATCCAAATATGATTTGGCAATTTGTTGAAGTAAAAAAAATAGTCAGGAAGCATCTTAAAGAGGTCTTTGGATAAAATTAAAAATATGGAAACATCTGTATAAGTTGTTAATTATACTGAATAGACAGTAAAACATGACAATAATATAGTTGAATAAATAAATAAATACTAATAAAATAATGGCTAAAATTTTTTTAACTATATTTTAATGTGCAGGGTATACAATGGCAGTATAGGACCTTTAATTCATTCCTATAGTTTAACAGGCTTTTATTGTTGGGAAACTTGATAATATAGAATTTTTCTTGTAAACATAGGTGACATGGATCATGTAAGGATTTACAGATTCTAGTTATTTTTAATATTTTCCATTTTACCATAGGAGTTTTACCTTCTTTTAGGTGCCAAAAATATTTCAAAAAGGACATTCTGTTACAATACACATTGTTGTTGAAAGATGATGTGTGTTGACACCAAGTTTTTTTGGTACTACCTATATAAAATTTTTTATCAGTTGGATTTTCTCTAGATGTAGTACTTAGGTAAACAACTGAATCAATTAAACATCTACACGCAAGGGTCCCATAAGTGTGAAGTGCAAGGAAAGAAACTGCCAGCACAGAATCCATAACCACATCCAGCCAGATCAACTGTAAACCATTGAGACCCTGCTGTCAGTCCAACACTGCACTCAAATCCAAAGAGTCCAGGCACCATAGTGAAGATGCTTCATCTATGAAACCCAGCCAAATTAAGACTATTAATATTAGGTATAAAAACGAGAAATAAGATGAAAGAAATACTAGTCAAAATTTAATAATAATTAACAATGATTGATCTAAGAAATTCAGATAATTTAAGACTGTTAATAATTGGTGTAAAAACAAAAGAAATACTAGTCAAAAATTAATAATAATTGACAATGCATCATTGATTCTATTTTTACGATTATCAAAAATTATTAACAACCTTTTATGATTTCCAACTCAAAGGCAGCTGTAGACATAAATCCTCAAAACACTGACACTTAAGTTTACTCAAAGATGGACTGGAGACAAAATTCCTATGAAGCTCAGATAACTAAGCGGATTTAAAAGAAAAGAAATGTATCTATTTATCCCCTAAAGATGTGTGAGAAATTGTATTGTTACAGTAAGTCTTGTATCAGTAAATTATTATTTCCCAAAATTCTTAGAATCCAAAAATATATTGTGGCCTTAAAATAACCTATAAAAGATTGATAAATCATAAAAAGACACACTCAATCAAAGAACTATATCAAATAACAGAAAACACATCACTTGAGGACTACCATCAGCAGCAACAACTAAAATGGATATCACATGTAACTCAAAGAGAAAATAATGATACAGTGTAACCCGGATATAAGAGAGATTTTCTCTGGTCCCAAATTAGAGCCTGTGTTAATGCATATAAAATAGATCAAACCCGGATATAAGAGAAACCCGGATATAAGAGAGATTTTCTCTGGTCCCAAATTAGAGCCTGTGTTAATGTATATAAAATAGACCAAACCCGGAAATAAGAGAAACCCGGATATAAGAGATTTTCTCTGGTCCCAAATTAGAGCCTGTGTTAATGTAATGTAAAAAATATACCAAACCCGGATATAAGAGATTTTCTCTGGTCCCAAATTAGAGCCTGTGTTAATGCATATAAAATAGATCAAACCCGGATATAAGAAAAACCGGATATAAGAGAGATTTTCTCTTGTCCCAAATTAGAGCCTGTGTTAATGTATATAAAATAGACCAAACCCGGAAATAAGAGAAACCCGGATATAAGAGATTTTCTCTGGTCCCAAATTAGAGCCTGTGTTAATGTATATAAAATAGACCAAACCCGGATATAAGAGAAACCCGGATATAAGAGAGATTTTCTCTGGTCCCAAATTAGAGCCTGTGTTAATGTATATAAAATAGACCAAACCCGGAAATAAGAGAAACCCGGATATAAGAGAGATTTTCTCTGGTCCCAAATTAGAGCCTGTGTTAATGCATATAAAATAGATCAAACCCGGATATAAGAGAAACCCGGATATAAGAGAGATTTTCTCTGGTCCCAAATTAGAGCCTGTGTTAATGTATATAAAATAGACCAAACCCGGATATAAGAGAGATTTTCTCTGGTCCCAAATTAGAGCCTGTGTTAATATATATAAAATAGACCAAACCCGGATATAAGAAAAACCCGGATATAAGAGAGATTTCTCTGGTCCCAAATTAGAGCCTGTGTTAATGTATATAAAATAGACCAAACCCGGATATAAGAGAAACCCGGATATAAGAGAGATTTCTCTGGTCCCAAATTAGAGCCTGTGTTAATGCATATAAAATAGATCAAACCCGGATATAAGAGAAACCCGGATATAAGAGATTTTCTCTGGTCCCAAATTAGAGCCTGTGTTAATGCATATAAAATAGATCAAACCCGGATATAAGAGAAACCCGGATATAAGAGAGATTTTCTCTGGTCCCAAATTAGAGCCTGTGTTAATGTATATAAAATAGACCAAACCCAGAAATAAGAGAAACCCGGATATAAGAGATTTTCTCTGGTCCCAAATTAGAGCCTGTGTTAATGTATATAAAATAGACCAAACCCGGATATAAGAGAGATTTTCTCTGGTCCCAAATTAGAGCCTGTGTTAATGTATATAAAATAGACCAAACCCGGATATAAGAGAGATTTTCTCTGGTTCCAAATTAGAGCCTGTGTTAATGTATATATAAGAGAAACCCGGATATAAGAGACTTCTTCTCCGGTCCCGACAACTCTCTTATGTCTGGGTTACACTGTATTATTAAGATGTTGACATCCCACACTAATTCAAACAAAAGGTTAGGAAGGAAACCCTTTTCAATATTGGAAAGAGCAATAATAGCTACTGGACTTCAGAGACCTATTCTCATGAGAAATTGTTTGAAGACAAAGACTTTATAATTTGAAATGAAAGCCGTGCTGGCTGCTCATCAATGTATGCCAAATATTTCCTTGTAGGGAAATGGTTAATATTACCATTATTATGTAATGTTTTATTTGGTTGATAAAAGGTAACTTTAACACGTCTTAAGGCGTTTAAGCAAAGATATGTACAAAGTTTCAACACGTTTAAACTTTTTCTAAATTTTGCAGACAATTCAATATACACATTGGTATTTACTCAGTTTAACTTAGTTTGGCACAAGGTCACAAGAATGGAACACCAAGTCAGAATCAGATTAATCTACAATATGAAGTTCTTTTACTCCATGATGAAGCATCCTTATACATTTATAGGTACTTTCTAAGCTTATCTCAGTCTGGCACAAGACCATAAGAATGGAGCACCCTGTCAGATTCAGATTCACTACAATAGTAATAGCCCTACTATGCCATGACAAGGCATCCTTATACACTTATAGGTATTTACTAAACTTAGCTTAGTCTGGTACAAAGCTGCACTTGTGAGGTACACAGTAACAACTAAACTCATTATAATATTCTGCTTGGTTAGACTGGCTAATGATTGCATCAATGTAGTGTTTGCATATTTGTATCTTTTTCTCTCTCTTTTTTTTTTTTTTTTTTTTTTTAAATACTAAATGAGGTATTTATGACAGACTTCTTTTTCAGATAGAGCAGCCAGATCTGGCCAGCCAGACCCAATGAGACTGGGAATATTGCATTCAGTTTTCATAAAAACAGCTAAAACCAGATATTCACAAATAAAAATGTTTCTAGCCTGAAAAGAGCTACATCTTAATATTCGTTGTATAGGTGTGTAAATAGCTTAAAAAATGAATTTAAATGAGTTATCTTAAACCTGGCAATATTTCAAAATAAATATAGCCTGGAAAGAGTTAAATGAAATTTTGTACAAAACATTGAATTTAATTGTGTGTTATTTTTAAATAACAAATAATCTTGAATGAATCGGAAGTCCTACCAGGATTCATTATTGGCAGTCACAATCTTAACAACATAAGATATGAATAGGACACAGTGTTGATAGCAAACAGAAAGGAAGAAACTCCAAGAATTCCTACAGAAGGTAGTGAAGGAAACTTAGAAGAAAAGATTAAAAAACAATTACAAAAAGACAATGCATGGTCATTAGCAAAAGGGACACATCAACATACAAATTACACATTGGAGATACCAAAACCAAACGAGTACAACAATTTACATATCTGGGAAGCATTGTAATAGGGGACGGAAAATGTGGCACTGTAATCCGAAAACACATTGGTATAGTGAAAGATGCCTTCCAAAAGCTCAGCATGATATTAAGAAATAGAAAATTTATGTTAGAAACAAAGAGTACTGAACTGTTATGTAATATCAGTCTTCCTATATGGTAGTGATTACTGGACAATCTCCTTACTGATGAAGAATAGATGAGGCAACAGAAATGTGGTTCTACAGAAGGATGCTCAGAATACTATGGACTGAACATGCGAGCAACAACAGAGTTCTAGAGACAATGGAAACAAAAAGGAGACTTATACTTAACATCAGAAGAGACTGTTAACATTTCTAGGGCACAAAATGAGGAAGGGGGGTTTGGAAAATTTGATGCTCACAGGATAACTGAAGGCAAGAAGGGCAGACAAAAACAACACATGCTCTAGTTACAGAGCTTGAGTGAACGGATGACAGAACAGGGTTTGTGAGACAGCAAAAAGACAAAATTTATTAAGAGCTACAAAGGATGGGAAATTGTGGAGAGCTATGATTGCCAATGTTCTAAAGAGACACAGCACATAGAAGAAACCTAAGTGCTAAATGTTTAGCATTGGTCATTTAGTTTTTAATTGTATAAATGACAATTACAACCTGTTTTATTTTTGTTTTTATTATAGTGTTCAGCCATTGGTGCCTCCTTCTGTTATTTAATCGCAGACTTTGTTGGTCATAAATGGGTGGAAAAATATTGGCCAACCAGAGTGGCTGATTGGCAAGCTCAGGTGAGTCAGCAGCATCCACGCAACTTCTTTTCCTACACTCGGTTTTGAACCTGTTGTAATCCAGCCATATATTAGGGCAACATTAATTAATGTCCCCTTTGTACAATTTACAACTTGTCTTCATTTTGTCCTCTGCACATTTCAGTAACTTGTACTATATAAAGCGAAATATTTTGGGTTCAAAATGGCCAGGGTTAAATGCTGCAAGTGAATCATGGTAGCTTGGTGGAGGGTGCAATAATGAGAGGTTGAACACCTACCTGATTTGGGGTCCCTATTTGCCCTATTTTGCGATATATGCCAATGAGTCTATAAGAAATTTTGGGTAATTTGCTTTTTAAGCCCCACACTAAGTATCTAATAAAAATTTCCCGAATGGTTATTTTTTTATTCTAAATTTACCTGCCTAATTTGAAAATAACAGAAATTTTTATAAAATATGATGTTTTAGAGTTATCGACAATAAAACTTCAGACTCATTCATGTCATTGTCAGCTACAGCTCAGCAGCCATTATTGGCATTGTTTGCATCAGTGTGTGCGCAATAATTGAGACAAGTAAATTTCTATTCTTCACCAAATACATGCAGACAACAACAGTAATGGCTGCTGCAATGTGAATGAGTCCAAACTTTTACTGTCAATAACTCCAAAAAGGTAGATTTTATCAAAATTTCTTTATTTTTTAATTAAGCATGTAAATTTACATGTAAATATAACTATTTGAGAAATTTATATTAGATGATTAGCACAGGGCTTAAAAAGCAAATTATCCAAAACTCCCAACTTATTTCAGTGTTTTACAGCAGATTTTTTTATACTATAAATTTTAACCATCCTCAAAAGTACTTCCTCTTGCAATGCATTATGGTCTAATTTGAAAATCTTGGGATCCACCACCCACCCATAGTACACTGGTTCACCTAATAGTGGCAGACTATTATACTATTTTTTTCTCTATTATAAAACAACTAATTTGGAAATTTAATTATATATATATATATATATATATATATATATATATATTAGTTTTAAAATATATGCTATATTTATGGACTAAAGTGCTCAATATCAGGTATAGAGCATATGCAAATATAAAAGTAGACATTGAAGTCAATACCCAGAGGTGACAGTCTCTTTCATGCTAAATGCAATTGTCAGACTATGTTTGTTCCAATATATGTATATATATTTGAACAAAAATTTTATAGCACAGAATTTATATAGTGTTTTAAAAATGACAGAGCACATTCTTTTTCTTTTTCTTTTTGAAAACGTTTTTCCAACGAATCTTTCTGAAGAAGTGTTGGACAAAATAAGTTCCTTTAAAGAAAAACAATGTATTCTGTGAGTTTTTTTTAAAATATATATATATATATATATATATATATATATATATATATATATTTAAATTTTCAAATTAGTCGATTTATTTTATTGGCAAATTTGCTAAAGTTCATATTTACTTTTATTTTATATTATTTTTTTTTTGAAGTATTTTCAAATGTTACTACATTCATTTTCAAGTATTTTTCTGTTTATATTTACAAAATTTTTTTTTTTTTAATTTGTTGTTTTCACCTTTGAGCATCTTTAAATTTGTTTCACCAAATGTAATAATGTTAGAATTAAAATTACAGTTGCGTAAATATATACAGAACAATCCTTCAAAATGAATGGCGCAACATTTGAAAATACTCCAAAAAAAATTATATATATATATATATATATATATATATATATATATAATTAGTTACTGAACATGTTTTGTTGAATATGACAAATAAGGAAAATTTCAATTAATTAGAATGCGTGTTAAAATCCTCACAGTATTTAGTATTGTTGAAGTTATTGCTAACATTTTTTGTCATGATTTACAAACTCTATTCTCCCTACTGTGTTTTATATTTACAATGCTACTACTACTACTGTGAATTCTATTTTACCTGAATTAAATATATATAAAGACTTAGAGAGAAGATATGCATAAAACAATGTTGCATTTTTATTAAATAAGTATTTGTTATTTTAATCATTAAATTGTTTTTAAAATAGGGGGGGTATTTTGTATGTTAAATAATAAAACTTAATTTTTCCAAAAAATTAATGAGAATTTATTGTACTAAGCTACACACCCTAGTAAAACCAACTGTACATACCTGTTTGCACTTCTCCCCAAAATTTAGTTTCAATCAGTCAATGTATAGCTATTTTAGAAGGTGTGACGGACTAGCAGAAGTCACAGAATTTTTTATATAAGTTTTTTGTTTAGTTTTTCTAGCATTCTTACTTTTTTTTTCTTCTTGGTGAGAGTAAGGGAATGCAAAAATTGTCCGTATTGTTCATTGTCCCAAGAGCTTTCGGCCACTTCTTCAGCCATTTTCAAGGAAGTTTGTTTTTTAGTGTTAATTTCTCGTGTCTGACTTTAAGATGTTTTTTTTTGTGTGTATGTGTTGTTTTGAATGCTAATAGTTTTTGCATAGCTGTTCTATTCAATCTGTCATATAAATGCACACACCTATTTATTTATTTTGTTTTCTCTTTTGCAGGTGGCATCATATCGGGAACACTTGTTGAATTATATCATTTTCTTGCGTATCACACCTTTCCTTCCAAATTGGTTCATCAACATTGCGGCCCCTGTCATCAACGTTCCCCTCAAACAGTTCTTCTTAGGAACATTCATTGGTAAGAACTTACGTTTATGCATAACTTCTGACTGTCCCACAATTTCTGTGCATTTGACTCTCATGAGATATATATATATATATATATATATATATATATATACTATATGGTTCACCCTGTACAAGTCCTGGGGCCACTTGAGGTAGAGGGCCATGTTAAGACAGTGTTTCTCAACCTTTTTAAGCAATGGCACACCTAGGAGCAAAAGAAAATATCATGGCACACGTAGCAAAATTTTTAAAGGGTATACATTTAAATGTTATGAAATAAATCCATAGATTTAAAAAAATACTGCACACACACAAATATGAAGTTACTTTATGTAGTATCCTTAAAAAGGTTACAAACAGACAAAGGTGATACTCAAATGGAAGGAACAGCAGTACAGGCTTAGAAGGAAGAAAGAGAGGTTTATTGTAAAAGAGAATACACTACTGAAAGACAGGGAGTTGACTAACACTTCTCAAAGCCAGTCAGACAGACCTACAGTCTCTAGTATGTCCTACATATATTACTGACTAGCAGCATTGCCCGTGCTTGATTCAAAAATCGTACGACTTGTACAGTAATCGCTATCACTTGACTTAAAATATTTTTGCTCTTCCTTGCCTTTAAAGGAGTGCCCTTTGCCGTGCTGATGTTGCTACATGCCTTACTTCTTGCCTATCTCACACTGTGAATTTTTTCTAAGCTCTATACTAAACATTAAATCTGTTACGAAAAAAGAACTAAACAAAATGAACACAAAACGATCAGCTTTAAAAAAGGACTCTTAACTGGAAAAACAGAATGAAAAAAGAATGTTAACAACAAATACTTTTTCACACCTAACCCAATCCTGCGGAATCAGAATCAACATTGAGTTTAAGCAAGCAAATGAGCCAATTGGAGTAAAGTGCCATGCAGATTTAAATTTTTCCCACTTGTGACAAATGCAGCTATCGATTTTTTTTTGCATGCTAGAATGCTAGTTAACATTCATGTCAGTCAGCTGTTGGCTTTCACGCTGGCCAATAGAATCTTCCTGCCTATTCGTGGCAGCCAGCTATAGGCTCTCACTCTGGCCAGTCAAAAATGGCTGCAAACTACATGAAAACTGCCATAGAAGCATGAAAAAATCGATTATTTCTACTATCAATGGGAGTTGGGAAATGCGAAGTCAGTCTTGGTCTTCCTGCTAACTTGGAGTATGTGCATGTAAATTTTGGTGCAAATCCGTCGAAAATTGCGGCCGTGCATTTGTTGCACACACACACACACACACACACACACATCCTGCCTTTTATAGATAGAGATATAGTCAGTCTATAGTAGGTAATAGGGAGAGTGGAACATCCCATTACAACACTTTATTTCAATGTTTCTATTCAACTATTTGTGTAGATGTTTTAGTGTGAAACTTGTCTGTTTCTTTTCGCGATTTCTTCAATATTTCGGTGGTTGAGTATCACTGTGTTAAGGGGTAGTTTATACGAATAGGAGGAAAAGATAACTCTAGATTTGAACAGGTTAAGATTGTAGCAATCATGGAAATCATGCTATTTGAGCGGAACTTACTTCTCGCCAATGGAATACAGAGGGAATGTAGATAATTTGCTACTATGTAAGTGATATGGCCAGCCCTGTCCATGAAGGTTAAACCTGGTGGAACCAAAGAATGTCGTTTGTCTGACCACTTTCCATGGAAGTAGTGATTGAACAGTGAAAGACTTGTCACTTGTTGGAGGTTGGAAAATAATTCTTCTAAAACAAGGACTTGCCAACGCTTTATATCATGTTGATAAGATGTAGAATAATATCCAAACAAAAGTAGAGAAGGCGAATTTCATCAAGAGATGAACATTCATGGATTTAACAAATAAAAACATTTGTAAGAATCTTCTGTTTGACTCTTTTTACCCATATGACTTTTCTACACTATCTTACTCAGAGATTGAATACTACCAAGAAACCAGATAGGGTTTAATCACTAGGCCATCCATCTCCATATATACAATGGTTAATCAAGGGAAAAGTCAAGCAACACAAAAGCAAAATTGATACATGATATCTATTATATAATGGAATGAGAACAATTTACACCTGTAGATTGAATAAAGTGTTCAATTCAGTTCTAAGAAGGGTATCAATTATAACAGATACCTGAAGAAGGCCAGAGGGTCAGTCAGTTATGTGCCATGTGTGATACACATTTAGGCGATCATGTATCTTTCAATATATGACTGACAAAGCAGACTTTCTTCCCCACAGTAGGTTGCCATTTCTTTCTGTGGTAGACCAGTTGCCATCCAAAGCTATAGAACCCAGTCTGTCCTGCTATTTACCCATACCTGGGGGGAGAAGAAGAGGATTCACACCTTTCCCAAGGGTATTAGCATGTAAGTGAATGTAATGGATTTTTTTTATTCAAACTCGGATCTCTGATTCCTCAATCCAAGCCGCTATCCATTATTCCACAGTGCCTCCTCACCAAAGGGTACAAATGCAGAAACATTGTATGTATAACAAACTAGATGAGGGTATTACTTCAAATAGAAAGACATATAATTTTACATATAATTTAACAAATTTATATCTGAGACTAAAATCGAACATTTTGTCACATTCAATCAGTTAAGTGTCATATGTGAGGCATGCATAGGTGATCATGTATCTTTTGATACATAACTGACTAGGCAGATTTTTTTTCCCACAGTAGGTTGCCATTTCTTTCTGGGGTAGACTGGTTGCCAACCAAGGCTAAAGAATCCAGTCTGTCCTGCTATTCAACCCATAGCTAGGGGAGAAGAAATGGTTCATATCTTTCCCAAGGTTATTTCACCCTGCTAGTGTTCCTACCATGATTAATATAATAAACTGTATTAGTATAATGAACTTTTTATAACCTATACTTTTATTTATTTTGCTGTTATTGCTTGCCTCTTGACAATCTCTTGACCCACTGTTAAGATTCACATTTGTGGTATTAAATAATGTAGATTTTGTTAACTTTTCATTTAAGATGTTTTTGAAGACTGCAAACAAGTTTTATTTTAATAAATTATTTTAGTAATCTTAAACCTAACGTATTGCGAAGTAGTGGAGGTACCAATGTTTATCTATTTACTGCCATTTTCTGCAATTTTTTATGGCTTTTTTGCAAAGGAAATAAGCAGCTTCACATAAATTGCAATCTTATAGAATCTGAACAAAATTGGACAAATGAGACAAAGTGGAAAGCTTTTTAATGACAAGTTTTGCCTTCATGTGTCAGATTAGCATCTTCAGGTCGAAATGAAAGACATCTGTGTGTCTTTTGTACTAAAGTTATTTATATCTGTTTACTAAGTTGATGTCTTCTGGCCAGATTGAAAGACAAATCTGTGTATCTTAAGAAAAAATATACATAGGTGTAACTGAAGGACCCTGGAAACAAAGAAACTATGCACACAAAACATCCTTTACAAATAGTAAATATGTGAGCAACACAATGCTTTCTAAACATATCTGGCAGATTAAAAACAAATAACACCAAAAATATCATGGAAAATAAGGAAAAAAACATAAGCCCACCAGTGGAAACCATGGTACCATGAGTGGTTAGGGTTAGTATTTATTGACTTTGAGATATATATATATATATATATATATATATATATATATATGAAAGAGAATACAACTATAATTATAGTAAAGAAGTAACTTTATATTGTAATTTTAAAAGTATTGAAATGTAAAAATAAATTAAAAATACCAGCTGTTTATTTTAACTATGCTGCTAAGAATTTATCATTTATAGTTTGTATTGTTTGGACATTTTGGGGCAATAACCCCCTCCCACACACACAAAACTTTTCTGATAAGTAGAAAGTAGACTTGTCCAATAATGTTCTTGTTTATTTGGTGAAATGTCCACTCGACTACTTTATATCTTATAAAAAATTTGATAAATGGCTTTCTAATTTCCTTCTCTCTTCCTTCTCCCTCTCTCTCTTCCTTCTCCCTCTCTCTCTTCCTTCTCCCTCTCTCTCTTCCTTCTCCCTGTCTCTCTTCCTTCTCCCTGTCTCTCTTCCTTCTCCCTGTCTCTCTTCCTTCTCCCTGTCTCTCTTCCTTCTCCCTGTCTCTCTTCCTTCTCCCTGTCTCTCTTCCTTCTCCCTGTCTCTCTCTCTCTTCCTTCTCCCTGTCTCTCTCTAGGTATAGTGTATTGTTTTATTTGTAGACATCTGTCTCTCTTTCACCCCCTCCCTGTTAATATTTATACCTGTCACCCTCTTTATCTAAACAAAAATAAATTATAGTCGTAGTTCTTAGACAACCTGGTAAAATTACCCATTAATTCCTTTTGACCTAAAAATGAAATATTGCCATTGTGGAAAAAGCCACAAAAATTAGATTTATTTGAGCCTTCACAAAAAAAATGTCCGACATTTCTTTCCTCTTTGCTTTATCTACTTTCTTTTCGTTTTTCTCTAGCTTTCTTACTTACCTTCTACCTTTCCTTTTTTCATACCTACTTTTCATCTTCCTCCTCTTCTTTACTTTTTCCCAATTCTGTTGTGTTTAAAAGGAAAAAAAAGAAAGTTGATAGCAATTGTGTATGTAATACTTTTCACCAAACTGCACAGATATTGCACTGATCTTCGGCTGAAGTGCCTGAAAGTGATACTTTGATCCTAGTCAGATCATATGGATAGTTGTTCCTATACAGAAGCCAAGATCCATACATAAATGTTTCTTTTTACAGCTACTATGGTAGTATAGATTCAGCCACTCTTCTGCAATTTGTAGGTAACTTTGTTCACCAAGCAGAACATTTGTTTTTCTATTTCAGACACCTCCAATCACTAATTGATAGTGTTTGAAAAAAAAAATATATAGCCTTAAACTATTAACATCATCATATATATATATATATATATATATATATATATAATTGCTCCAGTACAGTGTTTTGATGGAGAGAGTGTACATTGTCCCTTGTCATGCAATAAATTAAACTATGAACAAGTCATGTGCAGGTTCTTCAGTAAACAATAAAAGTTGAGCACCTCTTTATTTTACTGAGCCCTCATTTACTGACAAGAGAGTCATATATATATATATATATATATATATATATATATATAATTAGTAAACTAATTAGATGTAGTTGTCAGAAAACAATACACTGATTTGTTTAAAGTGCTAAAGGCTTGTGTAGGAGCATTTACACTTTTATTCAGGAATAATGCACTATCTAGGAGTAAGCATCAGTTGACTGTGTGGAAGATGGAAGCAAAATAAGACATCTAACAGTGTTCCTGCTGCACTTGGATACAATATATTCTCCTGTACTGTTTGTGGTCTTTTGTGCAATTCCCAAGCCAGTCTCAAAAGTCATGCCCATCATAGGCATGCTGATAATTAGTTTGTGTTCAACGGAACCTCATACATCGAACTCTATGGGAGAGTCCATCATATATAGTAAAGGTAATAAATCCATTGGTATATAATCCAAGTGGATCCTAGTAATATAAGATATTAAAACTCATCCACAAAAAGAGTTCAATGTATTTATTATTACAGAGCAAATAATTAATACACAGTAAAATCCCAAATCCCCTAATAATTCTATATATTTTGCTACACGTGTGTTTTGGGTCTTATGACCTTCATAAGGGGAAGAATGGTTATTTCCACATATTATTTAACGGAATTATTTTTTTCTTTCCTATGTTAAGTCTTTTAACCATTGTCTTGTGTACTTGCTTAGTAGTAGTCATCAGAATCCGTCCAGTCCAAGATGGATTCAGATATAACATTAGGTAAGCATAAACAGAAAGTAAAAATACGACAAACGATCTACTAGTTAATTGTACAAAAATAAATGATTACTAATACAATAAATCTGCGATCACTTCATCACCTGACATGTGGCAAACCGCGCTCCAATACAGGCTATCGTGTTTTGATGAGAGAGTGTGTATTATGACTTGAACTTGAAATTCATGTAAATATCAAAGCAAGTTGGCAACATGCTGCTTCTCTCAAGATGGCCTTACCTACCACTGTGGCTTTGTCACATACAGTAAAGCATTCCTTGCTCTCTACTCCACTCACAAAAATCTGGCAATTTATCAGCAAAATGGCTCAACCACATGTTTTGTCTGTCTAAAAGTTTACAAAACACCTGCAAGCCTTGGGAGACATAGGCGTGTCCATAGAAGTTGAGTACCGTTTTATTTTACTTCATTTGTCGTCCGCAGTAAGAATCTACCAGTTAATGGATTCATTTTTAATCCAAAATTTTTTTATTACTTCAAACATTAATCTAGTGAATAATCTTATTTGAAATAGACACCCCATTTTTATTTTTACTTTAAACAGTGTGTGTTACATCTATCAGCCTTTGCATTCAAGAAATCTCAAACAAAATGTATTCTCCTTCAGGAATTGAACCCGTGTCCCTCTTTGTAGGAGAAACCAACATTTGATCTGGTGTACTTTGAAAAGTGTTGGAGTACAGCCAGGCTCTATTTTCCCTTTTAACGAAAGCACACTCTTCAAAGATGACATCATTCTTGAAAATCTGTAACTGCTTAGTTTCATATCCGAAATGTAAACAAAGCCATTTCTAAAGAATTAATGGATTTAGTTTTCATCCATCATTGTTATGACAACAAAAAATGTGGCATCTATTTTAAATATAAGTATCCACTATAATAATGTCAAAAATAATAATTATATACAGTACTGTGTGAATTAATTGGGACAGTAACTTCAATAAAATACAGAAATGACCTCATATTTTTAAAAAAAGCTTCACATAGCTGTTCTAAAATGTCACAAATCAGTATTTTATATGTCAGTCTCTACATTTTGAGACATTTTGACATAGATTCAGCCAGTTTCATATACACGTTGCCCAATTCTTCATTGTGATACTGTTGGGGATGTGCAGAATTTATTAATTATAATTGTGAGAATCAGAAGGAATTTGTGTAAGTTGCGTAACTTTCTGCATCCACAAACAAATAAATAAACGAATTTTAAATACAATCAAAACAAGACATATTCAATTTAGAAACCAATAAAACATTTATATACAATTCAAAGTAATATACAAGCAGGATATTTGGTATATGTTACTATGGCAAAGTGTGTGTGATATTTTAGGTTTCAGTATGTCTCTCTTAGTATTCGTTTGTTCATTTACAGTCTTTTTAGATTTGTGTTGATATTAAAATTGTCAATATTAAGTGTCTTTTTTTGGTAGGAGTTCTTATGGAGTGATCTACCTTTGACTGTAATATTTCTAAATCATTCGCACGTTGATTCTTACTTAATAGGTAGTGAATATAAATCACTTTTTATAAGCAAGTTTTGTGATTCGATGTCCACAAAGTTGGTTGAGTTTAAATTGCAAGTGAGTCAGTGTTGATGTACTTTTGCACGGTAAAATCGTGATTTTGAGTGACATGAAGTATGTCGGCAATTTCTCTGTGGATGTTCATCTCTGACTGCTTTGGTCAGTCGGTGTTTTCTTTTATATGTTTTGAAAGTCCGAAATCGGCTCACATAAGTTTTGGCGCAATTTTGTTTTGCACGTGAAACTTTCAGATTATTGTGTCGTTAACCAATGAGATTTGTTGATTCACCTAGTACGGTTTTTATTGGTTGAAGTTTTCCGTACGTAGGCGTAAGATATAGACTGTTCTGTTACTAGGGGTGATAGGTAGGAAAAGGACGAGTCTACAATACCATATCTGAATGACTGCACAGATAAGCTTTTCCATGGTGGTTCAGTCGTGTTTTATCAGTCGTTGCTTCACAATACTCCACAAGTTTTCAATGGGGTTCAGGTCAAGGGAATTTTTGGACCAGTCCAACACTTTTACACCCTCATTTTGAAAAAAAATTCTGCATTTTCAACATGTGGCAGGTGACATTATCCTGCTGAAATACACTATCTTCATCTGGTTAAAATTTTTCCATTGCTGGAAGCATATGGACTTTCAAATGATCTTCATATTTTGTGCTATTTGTTACTCCCTTCAATTATTCTCAGTCTACTTAACCTATTTTCTCTAAAACTGCCCCAAAACATTTTCTTGGGGGACATGTTTTGACTCTTGCTCAATATGGCCATCTCTTACGGGTTCATGTTTGCTTCTCCATACAAAGAGGGATCAAGGATTTCTTACTTTAAAGTGAGTTTTATTCAAGAACAATAATTTCCAATCTTCTACCGTCCAGTCTTTGAGATTTTGCCCATTGGAGTTGTTTATCCTTCATTCTTCCTATTGAAAGCTGTTTTGGCATGTGGTTTTCTGGCTGGTTGCTCCATTGCAAGTAGCTGTCTCCTGACAATTGAGTCAGATATGGACACACCAAATTCTACTGCCAGGTCCCTGCTACTCTTCCTTGGGTTTTTAATGCTGTTTCTCGGCAGCATTGCTTCATCTTTGGACATTTTCCTTTTTTCTTCTACAACTTCCCTTTCTCAAAACCTTCTTGTGACCCAATAGAGCCTGCCTTTTCACAATACGTCCAACACTGGACTGACTTATCTTGAGGCTTTGGGTTATTTGTTGCATAGATTTGAAAGTTCATGAAGCACAATAACCTCTACGCACTTTCTATGAGTTTCATCCATTTTTATTATACCTGTTGAAAGAAAATAATCAGGTTAGTTTCAAAATCAGAAACAGTCACTGAAAAAACATAAAAAATCGGACTCACAAGCAAAACAATATAAATCACATAATTCTTAACCAAATAGAAAGTTTAGTCACAAATAAATTTTAAAATATTCAAAATTGTTTCAAAAGTTTTCTAGTGTAACAGGAGTGCACACTGTAATAACTTCATTGTGACTAGATGATTGTATAAAAAATATATATTAAACTGAAGTCACTGTCCCAATTAATTAGCACAATACTGTATATGTGCACTTTTTACATAAGGGCTCCTACATTGAGGATTTATAGATCCTGTAATATTTAAGCACATTTTTGAAGAAAGATGTTCTTTAGTGTTTTGGTGATGTTTTGTTTTCAACCTGCCTGTATTAAGAGCTGCACTATCTTTTGCCATTGGGTGTTCCCCTGCCTAGTCAGTATATTTGCTACCCAACTACCTATAGTATAACATCTACAGTTAACTGATAGAGAATTAATGCCTTTAACACCAGAGGCCATTAACCAGCTTGATCA